ATCCGAGAAAAATAAAGTTTTGTTTTGATGACCGAAAAGTTATTCCTATTTCCAAGTAAACACATATAATCTCATAGTGATAGCAATGTTTAACATATTTAGCAGGGTTTTAATCATACAAAAGCAAATCGCTAGCTTTCATGCTAAAAAATACTGGTTTTTGAGTCAAAAGTTATTATACGTCGTTTGGTGGCCCCTATTGTTACTTAAGTCAAAGTGTATTTACCAGGATATTCAGGAGAATTATCAATTACGTCTCCTTACGTGCAGCCTATTCATCATTTTAGGACCACCGAAATCATCTTAGCAACAAACAGATCGATTTATTCACTTTAATAATGAGAAAGCGAAACGACGAACGTACACTTTTCACGGGTTTCTCAGCGCTGTTACTTAAGTCAAACGGCATCTCCATAGAAATTGGGTGACTTAAGTAACATCGAAAACTATTTTGATCGGAAGGTGATTACGTCAAAAAGCAATTTGACTGGTAAATAAATTTAAAAATGGGATTTGATCCTATATTCGGACAGTATATAGTGTAATAGCAGGAGAATCGATTGACACTGATAGCTCGACTTTGTTTACCTTTGTTACATTCCACGTAATGAAAATTTGCTCTTGAATTCCACGTGGAATCATTGGGATGTTGGGTAATACCACGTTCACATTACAACCTATATCACGTAATATAGGCTGCCTTGCAATGAGCACTCATACTTAGGATTTCCAGTGAAAACTAGATGTATGAGTGCTCATTGCAAGACAGCGTATATCACGTGATATACGCTGTAATGTGAACGGGGTATAAGAGGGTTGAGTTTGCAGCAGGGTTCGTTTTGGTAAACGATAAGCTGAATTGATGTCCTAACGATCATATAACGCCAAGGAGCTTGGGATTGAACCCACAGTCTTCTGCTCAGTAAGCAAAAACGTTTTCCACTAGGCAAACGAGCTACTTGCTTACCATCCGGTGGAAACTAACGATTTTAAATTGGCTCACTGCTTGACTAGCCTATTGGTCCCAAGCAAACCGATTAACGTACCCCATTCTAGTCGAAATGCTAGTACTACACTATGTTGGTTCGTGGATTTTCCTATGTTTCGAGGGGTGCATCGATTAGCTTGGGATCGAAGACAGTACCAGAGCTGAGCCAAAAAGTTGAGCACGTTTCTTCGGGACCTTCTGATCTTAGAGTTACCTTAGAGTTAATGTCGTGACTGGACCGAGGTTTCCAGCCTCAGTCACGGTTCCATGAATCTGCGGCTACCTCTGTTGGTCCGCTAGTGCCGCTATCCCTTCTGCTGGTGGTCCTTTGCTGGTCGTCCGCTCTCTCCACAGTCCATCATAAGAATGCCGTCAACGAGCTTAGGTACCTAATATTTGTACCTCTAGCTGTATCAAAATTCCCGAACCAATCAGATTCCGTTTACATACGGTCTATGACGCTTCACGCTCACCCGATTCTACTCATTTCTATTCCACACTAACTCTATCTACTACACGTAAGTTTTTTTTGCACAGACGAAGGGTTAAAAGATGGGAAAACACACTGATTATTTCTACCAAGAGATTTCAAAACAACCGAAGTCGCAAACGTAAACAATGGCTTCTTCCGCAAATGTCTCGATAGTGAAAACTCGCCCAAGCAGGATGATTATGGAAGAGGAGGCCCACACATTATTTGTTCATCGATTTCAAATCCGCTATGGCAGATTATGCACGAGTACGGATTTCCGGATAAACTGACGCGATTGGTCAAGGCGACGATGGATCGAGTGATGTGCGTTGTTCGAGTATCGGGGACACTCTCGAGTCCCTTTGAATCTCCAAAAGGGTTTCGGCAAGGTGATGGACTTTCGTGTCTGCTTTTCAACATCGCGTTAGAAGGTGTGATCAGAAGAGCTGGGATAGACGCGAGTGGCACGATCTTCAGGAAGATCTATTGAGACGATGACGGGAACGTACATCAGACTGAAGGCTGAAGCTAGGCAGATTGGACTTGCCATCAACACATCAAAGACAAAATACATGAAAGGAAGAGGTTCTAGGGAAGACAATGTTAGTCTCCCACACCGAGTTTAGATTGACGAAATCGAGGTCGATGAGTTCGTGTATTTGGGCTCACTGGTGACCGCAGAAAATGATACCAGCAGAGAAATTCAAAGACGTATTATGGCAGGAAATCATGCCTACTTTGGACTCCGGAGAACACTCCGGTCGAATAAAATTCGTCGCCGCACAAAGTTGACTATCTACAAGACGCTAATTAGTCCGGTGGTCCTCTACAGCCACGAGATCTGGACTATGCTCTTGGAGGACCAATGCACCCTTGGTGTTTTCGAACGGAAGTTGTTGCGTACCATCTATGGTGGAGTCGAGGGGGCGACACATCTAAATCTCAAGTTTAGATGCTCAACAAATCTCACACTAACGAATCAATCTTCGAAAAATCTTCTTTCATTTGTCGCATCTACTTGCATCGCTCATCATCTTTTTGCAGGAAATCTTCAGAATCGTCATCAATCTTCTTTCTATAAACTCAGCGTGCGCGCAGCTAGCCACAGCAAAACACAATCTTTTTTGCATCGTAGATAGAGTTGCCCCCCTCGGGTGGAGTGCAGATGGATGACGGAACGTGTAGTATGCGAATGAACCACGAATTGCATCAGCTGCTGAGAGAACCAACCATCGTCCACATTGCAAAAATTGGGCGACTATGGTGGGCTGGGTACGTCGTGAGGTGGATCGACCAAGTAGAAGGTTACCTTAGCTTGATTTGTAAGTAAGTAAGCTGTGGAAGAAGCCATTGTTTACGTTCGCGACTTAGGCCTTTATGAATGCTCAGTAAAGCTGGGTTTAGACAGGGCAAGTCAATTGATCAAGTCAGTTGAATTCAACTGACTTGCACACGAATTGAACTTGTTAACCATGCCATTCAATTGACTTGATCAACTCACTTGAATTGAAAAAAGTTTTTTTTTTCCTTGATTTGTTTTCCGTCGATCTTGTTTTCCGTGCTGAGCACCAATGCTACCGACGGCGACGCCAGGGAGGCAGCTCCCACACACCTGGACCCTACCTATCGACCCATCAACTCATGAACCGGGGACCAACTCATCTGAGCTATTCTAGAATTCATCATATGGGTAACTCAATAATCAATAAAAGCTTGCTTGAAAGTAAATACCTATCAGCACTCCAGATCGCAACTCTAGCTCGTTCAAGGCCCTGTGGGAATGATTAATTCATTCATCGTTGTTTTAAATGAGACCAATGTTGCCTCTTCACCAGAGCTGCAAAATCTCGACAGTACACGGTGATATTGACAATTCTGCTTTGGTCACTCATTTTAGCTAAGAGTCATAGTCAAGGCAAACCATGTCAATTGTCAATGACAATGGTGTCAGTGACGAACATGTGCAGATTTGTTTATTAGCTAAATTTGTAACAAAATTAAATGACTTGAGCAAAACAATTACATGGATCCATTTTAGAGAACAAGTATCTACGTCCTGAGCTACTTGGATAACAATAATGTGACACAGAATGTACTAAATTACACTTTTTGTTACCAGGTGAATCTTTGTCATTGACGAAAAAATGAATGAGATTTTGACGAAGGTTTTTTTGAGGATCAAGTCTGTCAGTGACTATGTGACGAACAATTTTGTCAATATCGCGCGAAAGTCTGTCAATGACAATGACAAATCTCAGCACTGCTCTTCACCTCTCCAAGTCGAAAGAAAGGATGTTCGGTTATATTTTAAACTAGATCAATGCATTCATTATCGTGAGTCATGTGATCGATGATTACTATTTAAATTAATTATGTTCTACACAAATAAAAAAAGGGTTGAGCCTGGGATTGAACTCATGACCTTCTAATTGGAAAGCGGAAACGGTAACCACTACTCTACTGATTTCGCCTTGTTGTTAGACTGAATCAGTGTTGTCGAATAATGAATCTAATACGTCGTTTATAAAGCATTTACAAATCATGTGATTACAACATGGAAGCATAGTGGTATAAGAGCAATTTTGCTGAGTGCATTCACCTTTATACAGCAATATTGTAAAGGAATGCAATGAAATCTAATAATGGAGCTGGAAAACATTTATAAGACGTTTAATAAAGCATTTTATTCAATCATATGAAAACAGTCGAATAAAAGTGACAATGTATGTGCAAATTACACTTATTCAGTTTGTTATTAGATCAAACTTCTGGTTCTGAATAAGGAAGACATTCAACGTTTATAAAGCTTTTAATAAGGAAATTATTCATATCAGAGCAAACGGCGGAATAAAAGCGCATCTATCGATCCCAATGAACTTTTTTCAGCACATAATTCGACATCCTGTTTTATTTAGCATTGTACACTGTTATACAGCATTTATTCAATGTGTATGCTTATTTGTGACTTTGAATTGATTGTTGGGCATTCCTTTGATCGTTAGCTGTTCTCGCATAGTCCATTCACAAACCATTTATCAGTATAAACTATAAAATGGAATTCACACTGTGCGCATCGTCCAATGTTTTCCTATGAAGAAGTAGACTAGTAAAAATCCGGAGAAGTAATAGGGTCGTAAATTTGAGTTTTCACCGGAATCAGCTCAATTACATTTTTTGATTTACTTTTTGTCACATCTATAAAAAAAACAAAAAAAATGCTTTTAATGATAACACAGTTGTCGTACTCTTTTCTTAAACAAAGACCTGTGTATATATGAATTCAAAATTGTGGCATCATTAAATGGCTAAATAAATAGAGATTTACAATTTCCGGTACAAAAAATCAGGGAATTGGTCTATTCCGGGAATTATAATTACGGCAAATGGTCGTTTTCTGAATAATGCTTTTTTGGGAAATGTCATACAATCGTTGGCGCAATATTCATACAGCAGGTTAATGTTGAAGAACGTAGGGGCAGGAAAGGTATAGTACCTAGGTTTGATGGGTAGTCCGTGATTGGAGACTTGATAAGTACGTACCGAAATATCCGTGATCTCTTCATTGTGCTTCGGTGATATCTGATTGTAGAAAAACAAACTCAGCATCTCTTTTACGTAGCACCCGTTTTTCCCTCCGGGGAGAAGAGAACAATATGGATCTAAACCGGATCCACAGTATTTCTGATTTTCAATCAATGGGCTGGTAAGTAAAACGTTAATTGTAATAAGTGAACTGTAACAGTTGATTGACCAACAAGACAGCCTTACATCGCATTGATTCTCCACGTACTGACCCCGTGGTCACCTTCTCCGTAGCTGAATAGGAAATGGTCTTCCATGTTCCGTATGGCTTTGAGTTTCTTCGGATGGGCAAACATTCCCAAATACTTAAATGGGTTGCCATCGATCGGGAGTTGATGAATGTAAATGTTCCTATCGGTCATGAATGCAAAAAAATGATCGCCAGGTAGAAGCTGTGGATGACAAATGATGAATCAAGGTTATTGTAATTTTACAAACGGAAATCCTAAATATCTACCGTCAAGTTTCGAATGGGTCCATCGTGGAATGGTGCAAGAAATGTATTCAAAATGCTGAAAGTTTTAAGATTAAATATTTTGAATTTGAATTGATCATTTGCCACCAAAAGTTGATCAGATGGCAGAAGGAGAAACGATGTACTGTGGGCTGATTGTTCTATTTTGAAACGATCGCTTATCGCTAAATTGTCCATTCGAGAAACCTCGCCAGAATCGATCGTATATCTAATCAAATGCTGAAAACACTCAAAGTTATATTTGTATATCTGAAAGAGGATTTATGATTATTTACTCTATCGTCTCCAATTGTTAGGAACTTCACGTTTGAAACGAACAGAATATCTACTATTTTGTGAGTTAAGCATTTTCCAGTCAATTTCCAGCATTCATATTCACGCTGCAGTAAGCCTATTGAGCCTTCGTCGTCCTGCAAGTTGCAAAAATTTGCTTTACAGTGAATTTATTTAAGCTAAAACTATAAACGAATCTTACAGCAAAAAGGAAAAACTTTGAATCTGGAGAGAACTTGAGAAAACGAATATTTTCGCTGTTGTACTGCAGGGGACTGTCTGCACTGATTATCATCGTTTCTGGATTGACGACCCAGATGTAACCGTTTTCTGCCCCGCCAGCCAGGTAGGTTCCTGTAATGTAGTAGAAAATGTTGTTTGTGAGTATAAGTTATACTAACAATAATCGCATAAAAGTCCTATATGGATTGGAAATCAAGCAAAGATGGGACAAATTAATATTTCATTAAAGTAGTGGTACCGCAAGGCGAATAACAGAGGACGGTAATTCTTCCACGTCGAGTCCTCTGGATCGGAACATTTAAGCTCATAATTGCCTGTCTTTCCTTGAGATCGTAGACCGTTATTTTGCCATTTCCGTCGCAGGAACATAGTTGAGCTCTGTAAACAAAATGATAAATTCAAATAAAGTGAAATATCTGTATCTGTATAGAATTTATTCTATAGACTTTTTACGATTCTCTAAACCTTGTGTTATATAATAGCACACAGTTTTTAATTGAGAACTTTTTATGCCAAATGCATGAATATGTTTACTGTGTAGCAAGGACAATGATACTTTATGCCCAGTAGAGTGATGCAAAATTTGAAATTTTCGCTCCACAATACTTAAACGATTCCAAATCGGGTCCTAACTAACCTCCCAAAATTTTAACCCATTTGGTGAGAAACTGAGATGGCACAAACCATTTGAAGTTTGTATGGGAATTACTATGGTAAAACCAAGATTTTTGTTTGTCGGTCTGCTTCAAAAGCTTTCAACTGTACTTGTAGCTACAACTTTGCTGCAGACCACTTTTTGATTAAATGCAAGGATCGAAAGTTATCAATGGTTCAATGCGCTGATGTCTTATGATCATGCTAAATCAACTGCTCAGCAGGCAAGACTGGTGTTTCTGAGGCGTTGAATAGGACACAAACATCATGGCTACTATGTCACACTGCAAAATACAGTGTTGCCAACAGAGCAGCTGCTTGATCATGTCATAAGTTTACCAATCTCTTAAATCATTAATAACCTTTTCCTGTCTCGTTTTACATAGAAACAATCTTAAGCAAAGTTGTAGCTGAGAAAATTTTCTATAAGAATAGCTATAGAACTGTTTCGCAGCTCAATATGGAAGAAGACTAGAAGGCAATGAACAAAAAGTTGAGATTTCCCATAGTAATTTACGTGTAAACTTCAAATGGCTTGTGCGAAGCCTGTTTCTAACCAAATGAGTTGTAACTTTGGGAGGCTAATCAGGACCCGATTTGAAACCATTTAAGCACTGTGGAGCGAAAACGTCAAATTTTGCATCAGTCTAATGCCCAGGTAAGTGAAGAAAATTTCTAACCCCAGTAATTTCTTCGACCGGATTGGGAGTCCAACTCGCTTTATCGTTGATTTCAAATTTTAATTTAACGAAAAGAGCGTTTATGTGCCAAACCAAATTTCCACTTACTCTTTTGGGTGAACATCAAACGAGGTGATGATGCTTCCCGACGAATAGTACAGCTCCTGAATTTTGTTCTGCACTATATCGATGTCGAAGATGTGTCCTGTTTTTGTAGCCATGATAAAGTTCCTTATGATAACCGGATTTCCTTCAAGTGAGACATCTCTCGGCAATGACTCGAAACAAAGCACTTCTTCATCAGTATCCTCTGAAATTCGACAACTTTGGGTTATGGTAGTCAATCTAACCAAAAATTCAACTTACCTGAACGATCTTGAACATTGTCCAGAACATACTTTCTCGGTAGAACGTTGAAAGAAATTGTTCGAATCGGCTCTGGGTCTTCTTGCTTGAACCAATACAAAATCCTCATATAGGTATCATAGAACCGAATCTCGCCATCATCATCACCCGTAATCAGTTTTTGATCGCAATACTTTATCACATTAATCGAAGCATACTTCAGGTGCAGATATTTGAGAAATTGCTTCTTGATGGGACTAACGACTTTCTTGTCATCACTCCAGATGATAGCCATCCCAGCTGCCGTGACTGAAACAGCTCTTGGCGTATCATCAACAAAAACAGAATCGTTGTAATCCTGAAAGCCATGCTTCCTGGGAACCTCAATGTGAAGTTTTTGATTTTTCGAATCGAAATAGCCAAAAATAACAGCGTTTTCCAGGGTGACTATAAAATGATTCTTCTTGCCAAGATCAGTACAAAAACGAATGTTTTTCGTTTTACCCAACCGAGGTGGCAATTCAATGCAATCTGTAAGACTTGATATAGCTTAAGAACAATAAAAGATAATTTAATCAAACTTATACCATCTGGACTATCGTTTCCTATTGTCCACTGCCACACTTTCAGTAGGTTTTGTGTTCCACTACATGCCGCAATCAAATATCGAGCGTCGTGACTCAATCCAACAGCGTTGATCTCATTTGACTTGAATGGTTCATAAATAGTACGAATGGCCACAGGGGATCCATCGGTAATCGCGTCCCGGTCCCAAACATTGATACAGTATGCATTATCTGATGACGCCACAAAACGGCCGCTACCATCGGTGGTAATCGTATTTATTGTGCTTTTCTGAAATACCATAAACGTTAGTTAATTCCATTCTGGAGAAAGAATTTAAGAAACTGCAAGCTTACATGACCGACCAACGTTTGGATCGATTCGGTTTGGTTTACGAATTTATAAAATATAATAGCATTGCCAGAGGCCATAACCATCTCCTTAGCCTCTCGACTTGCAGTAACGTTGACCAACGGGATACGAGGATTGAATCCAAATATCCATTCGAGTATCTGAAATTTTATTGTATGGTTTGCTTATTGAATGAATAATTTAACTCATTTTTATCCTACAAAAGGTTGGCACCGGTGTTGAAGGTCATCGAAAGAATCTGTCGTTTTGGTGTAAGGCACTATTTCACCCATTAGATCGATTTAAGATATTTATTGTCAAACACAATTGCATACACAATTTATAGACATTAACGAACAAACAATAACCAACGGTTGCTATGTGCAAGGAATATTTTGTCTATCGTCTACTTCAAATTGCAATTCCAAATTTGCGCATGCTCAAATTGTGTTCAAAGTTATACCCCATTCACATTACAGCCTATATCACTTAATATAGGCTGTCTTGCAATGAGCACTCATACATAGGATTTCCAGTGAAAACTAGATGTATGAGTGCGCATTGCAAGATATCGTATATCACGTGATATACGCTGTAATGTGAACGAGGTATTAGCATAGAGGTAACTCTAAGACCAGAAGGTCCCGAAGAAATGTGCTCAACTTTTTGGCTCAGCTCTGGTACTCTCTTCGGTCCCAAGCTAATCGATTCACCCCTCGAAACATAGGAAAAACCAATAACCCCTCATTTTACCTGTCAAACTTTCATAGCGAATCAAAACAAACATTGCGTAGTACTAGAATTTCGACTAGAATGGGATACGTTAATCGTTTGCTTGGGACCAATAGTTAAGTAGTGAGCCAATTTAAAATCGTTAGTTTCGTATTGATTGTTGGTATTAGGGTACTGAACAAAAAAGTCTATTGGGTGTGCAGTAACGATGATCTATGCTAAGGGTTTGTAAACAAATTACGTAACCCCGGGATGCAGCGGGGGGAGATTTTATACCCCGTACAGACTATGACTTATATCATGTAATATAGGCTGTCTTGCAATGAGCACTCATACATCTAGTTTTCACTGGCAATCCTATGTATGAGTGCTCATTGCAAGACAGCCTATATTACACGATATAAGCCATACACGGATAGAAATCGCCTTATACCTTTTGGCAAATTTCTATTGCTACCCAACAAGCAATCGTCTATTGAAGAAACGACTTGTTGGCCATTTTATTCAACTGCATGCTTAATAGTACTTGTACTATTTTTAATAATAACTTCTGTTCAGACTTTGTTCACACAAATCTGGAGAATTTATTCAACCACAAACATTGAACTACTGGTGTTGTATAAGGTATGTCGAAAAGCTTTTATTCGACTTATATGAGTTGTAACAGAGTTTATGCGATAAAATTTTTGATTATTCAGCGTTTATTAGACATCACTGCTTCCTTAAAACAGTGATACTCTGTATACGCTTGATTCTCATGTGAAGTAACGTTTAATTAGACATTATTATACATTTATTAAACGATTATTCAACTGTGGGAAAATTAACCCGAAAATAAGAGGGACGGGGACAGGGGGAAGTGTGTGTTTCTTAAGTGTATTGTTTATCAATATTTCTGACGTGGCTCGCACCACACAGATATTAGAAAATTTATTAAATACTTATACATGTCGTTGTATGGGATTCGAACCATGTACCTTCCGATCACCAGCCGCTTGTCTTGTCATCTGAGCTATCCTAGAATGCATAATATGGGCAACTCAATAATCAATAAAAGCTTGCATGAAAGTAAATACCTATCAGCACTCCCGATCGCAACTCTAGCTCCTTCAAGGCCCTGTGGGAATGATTAATTCATTCATCGTTGTTTTAAATGAGACCAATGTTGCCTCTTCACATCTCCAAGTCGAAAGAAAGGATGCTCGGTTATATTTTAAACTAGATCAATGCATTCATTATCGTGAGTCATGTGATCGATGACCACAATTTAAATTAATTATGTTCTACACAAATAAAAAAAGGGTTGAGCTTGGGATTGAACTCACGACCTCCTAATTGGAAAGCGGAAACGATAACCACTACTCTACTGATTTCGCCTTGTTGTAAGACTGAATCAGTGTTGTCGAATAATGACTCTAGTACGTCGTTTATGAAGCATTTACAAAAAATCATGTGATTGCTACATGGACGCATAGTGGTATAAGAGCTATTATGCTGACTATATTCACCTTTATTCAGCAATATTCTAAACCAATGCAATGAAATCTAATAATGCAGCTAGAGAACATTTATTAGACGTCTAATAAAGCATGTTATTAAATTAATTGAAAACAGTCGAATTAAAGTGTCAATGTATGTACAAATTACACTTATTCAGTTTGTTATTAGATCGAACAAAGACATTTAACACTTTCACAGCTTTTAATAAGTAAATTAATCAGATCAGAGCAAACAGTTGAATAAATGTGCATCTATCGATCTCAATGAGCTTTTTCAGCACATAATTCGACAACTCTTTTTATTCAGCATTGTACACTGTTATACAGCATTAATTCAATATATATGCTTATTTGAGACTCTGAATTGTTTGTTGGGTGGTATAAGAGCTATTTTGCTGAGAGTATTCACCTTTATACAGCAATATAGTAAAGCAATGTAATGGCATCTAATAATGGAGCTAGTAAACATTTATAAGACGTTGAATAAAGCATTTTATTCAATCAATTGAAAACAGTCGAATTAAAGCGACAATGTATGTGCAAATTACACTTATTCAGTTTGTTATAAGATCAAACTTCTGGTTCTGAATAAGGAAGACAGTCAACGTTTATAAAGCTTTTAATAAGGAAATTTATCATATCAGACCAAACGGCGGAATAAAGGCGCATCTATCGATCTCAATGACCTCTTTTCAGCACATAATTCGACATCCTGTTTTATTCAGCATTGTACACTGTTATACAGCATTTATTCAATGTGTATGCTTATTTGTGACTTTGATTTGTTTGTTGGGTAATTATTCATAAAATGTATAAGTCAACTAATAAGCAGACGCCTTGCAAAAAGTTAATGAATATCATGTGTCAAATGAAATGTATAAGCGGTCACACATACCTTTTATGCATTCTTATAGGACCTATGTGATTTGTCTTATGGAATGTATAAGGCTGATGTTTTGGCAAAAATGTATTAGTGAAACACATGAATAAAATAATTGATTTTCGTTTCCGCACGCGCGAACGAATGAAAGCTGTATTAGAACAGTCGCATCTATACCCGCTTTGCTAAAATCATCAGCCTTCACAAACCGACGACATCCCTCAGCTTACCCAAGTGACTGTCACGAAAAGGCTGTCACGAGAAATGATATACAATTGATATACGGCAGTGGAGTATGGAAGAAACCCAGAAAAATGATCCCGAACAGACAATATAAGGTCAATTTATGATCAACGTCGGCCAAATGGTGGGTCGATATCGGGTCTATTCTGTGTTTATGTCGGGTCAATGTCGGGCCAACATCGGGTTGGGGTTTGGTAGAAGTCAGGTTGGTGTCGGGTAGGCTTATATTTTTCGCCGGAATGTCGGAATGTCTGATCTGCTCAATACCGCGCGTTTAAAAAAAATGTCAGTTGAAAATTTTGCAATGGGCAGCACGTGATAGCAACGGAACGAGCTTCGGTGTCACACTGGTAGTGTAGTAGCAGTCTCACGACATACGAACAAAATTTCAAAGACAGCAGCAACGAATCGGCAGTTTGACGGACTGCTTGTTGTATTGTACGAAGACCGTTACGAATGACCATCCGAAGCTGTCATAGCCGAACGAACAAAATACATGAATAAGAACAAGCTGTCGTGTACTGCACAAGACGGCAAAGTTGCATGTCGTATGACAGCCTCACTGTGGGCTGTCACTTATAGCTCAATATCAAGGCTGTCGTATGAAAAAGAAAGCGACAGCCGTTGGAATACTGTCATGAGGCGGTACTGTTGGTATGCCTGGTTGGACCAGCAGAATAATTTCCAAGTATATATTTACTGGTAGTGTGGTTCTATTTTACCGTATGCGTGATAATGTTTGCACCATCGTACAAATAAGGCTCCCATTTCACCAGTGCATACAATGCCTTGGTTTTCTTTGCATGCACGTAATCTATAGCTCATACCTTAGTAGGCTGTGTATAAAAGAAAATGATTTACTTAGTTTGACAGTTGCACCATAACAAAGTGGCAACGTATTCGTGATTTGTCTCACGCGCAAATGTCGCAAAAATACATTTCAATCGCCGTGGGAGTGTCCCGGTGGACCGTCAAAAGAATTTTAGACCGAGAAAAGAAAGGATAACTATCCGTGAAGGTGGCCACAGGTCTTACGAGGTCAGTTCGGGTTTCGAGGGTTATCGGTGCTATCAAAAGGAAGATTCAGGTGAATCCAGTGCGTTCAATAAGGAAAATGGCAAAGGAACACGGGATCAGTGACTTTACGGCACGGAAGATCGTAACGGAAGATTGCGGGGCGAAGTCGAGGGCACGGAAAAAAAACTCACATGATTACCAACCGCATCCGGGAACTACGAGTCGAACAATGCAAGAAAATCTTGAACTTCCTCAAGCGAAAAAATCCAGTAATCCTGTTCACCGACGAGAGCATGTTTACCGTCGATCCCGTATCAAATTCCAGAACCAACCGGTATATTAGTTCTCTTCCGGTAAAAGACGTGGCCGACGAGCACAAGAACGTGGTAGCGTTATGGTGTTTGGATTGGTGGCTTCCGATGGCAAAAAAAATGCACCCGGTGTTCATTCCAGAAGGCGACAAGGTCAACACGGAGGTCTTCATCGGGATTTAAAGAAAGTAAGTTCTACCGTGGATCAAAGAACAGAACGGTCCGAAGCCAAATATTATATTTCAACAAGAGGGGCTCCGTGCCGCATCTCAAACAGCACTCAGAATTGGTTGCAGGAACATCTTCCGTTCTGGGTGAAGGATATGTGGCCGCCATCCAGCCCCGATCTTAATCCGCTGGATTACTCAATATGGCGCGTCATGAAGGCCAAGGCCTGTTCTAAACGCCACCCGAATACAGCAAGCCTCAGACAAACATTGACCCATACCTGGAGAGAAATGGATCCAGACTACATTATTAGAACCTGCCGTGCATTCCGGAAGCGTGTGGAGGCCGTAATTGCAGAAAGTGGAAACTCGATCGATGATTAACATAGTTTAAGACTCTGAGAAACATCCCCCATTTGAATAAATAAAAAAAACTCAAAAACG